CGGTGGGCGGCGCAACTGGCCGGCCGTCATCGTCGAGCACAACCAACTCGAGGCCTCTCAGCAGGGGCTCTGAGCAACAGGGAATGATGGTGTGTCAAGGTCCCCTGTTTGCGTGGGGGAGACAAAACGGCTGGGAGAGGGAGACAGAACGCCGGGGCAGAGCTTTCTTTTTGCCATGGCGCCTCCCCTTATTCTGACTGGTTGACTTCTGTGTTGTTTCGTTTCTTTGTTTGTGGCTTGAATAAGAACTGGGCAGTCCTTCCCAGCATCCCTGTGTGTGTGCGGACATCCATCTTGATTGATTCTGCACCTCAGACCCACACTCGACAAGACGTCTTGTATCCTTCACTTCACATCACATCACGTCCTCCCACAGCATTCTCCACTAAGACCCGCTCGCTGAGAGAGTCGACAGACACGAAGCAGCGCGAGCATCGTACCACTTGGGTTCGAAAAGCGTGCATCAGCGCGCGTGCATCAGCGCTGATGCACGCCTGACACGCACTTTTTTCCAACCGCACCATTTCAAAACCGCCGTTCTCCACCGCACATACTCATCTTCGGCGGTCTTACCAAACATTTTCGTCTTGTCGGTATTTCCTCCACACCCCGTGTGCACAAAACCGCAGCTTTTGTCCGGTTCCGTCCATAAAATCGCACAAATGTTTCATAGTCGACCCTCTTGAGGCGCTCACAGAGGTCTCTGACTATCCGCCAATATGCTCTCGTGTCGCGGCTGCTGAGGACGCTATTCCTGAAGGCAAGCAAGCCTTGTGCAGCAGGAAAGGCCCTGACTGTCGACAATCTATTCAACCCGTGTGCTGGTGCTTGTTGTGTGTTACAGGGCCTCCTTGAGAGAAGACATCTACCTCATCGAGGTGGCTTGGTTCAAGCTCGAGGTCGAGTTGGGTGTGTTATGAGAGCGCCTGCCAGAGGAAGTTCGGCTTTCGCAACAGCAGCATTTTTTGGAGACGATCTGGCGAGAAGCATGAGAGGCACTGAGGCGTCAAACCATCGGCATGTTTGATTTTTGTGGCGGCAGGTAGGTTAAGATATGAATTGCTAACCATATTTTCCTCGTCTATCTTGATCAAGATCTCGTGGCATTTGCGTATGTCTGTCTCGGTCGGTCGAACGCAATTATTATTCTGTTGGCGCAGAAGTTGATGTCTCTGGTCTTTCATCCATCAAGCACCAACACGCAGGGAAAGCTGAATGGGGCAATCACTTACCTTCCCTGCTTCTCTTGATGCAGAAAGCCGAGGCACTTGCCGTTACCATCATGCAAATTGCAAATTGTCTGTGCATAAGCTGTCGAATCAAATCAAATTGCAAATTGTCTGTGCATAAGCTGTCGAATCATCCAACAATCACCCGCTCACGACCCATACCTGGCGACTTACGTCCATTTTTGTGTCTGCCGCAGACACTTCATGCCCTAGTTCTCGGGTTCCTTTGGGTCGGCGGCCTCCGTTCTTTCGCATCTGTTTGGTAGGCTTTTAAAGCTGCACAAAAGAGCAAAACGAGCAAGTCAAGGACAACTTTCTCTTCATTGTACAGCATTCTGGAAAAACGGCTAGTCGAGTGTAACGGCTTCGTCGATGCCTCCTGTGTATGTGTACCAGAAACCTCAATTCACCGGTCTTGCACAGTGTGAATATTCTCTTTGTTGCTGTTGCCTTGCTGGGGCGCCGAGGCAAGGCGATCAGTGATGAAGCTGTGTCTCGACGCAATACAGAACAGCTGTTGTCTTCTCTTCGCACGAATGGGATTGACCCGAAGGCAGGACCTAAGCTGCGGGATGAAGACAGTGAGCCGCAGCCTTGTGTGAACCTTCAAGTTTTGAAGGAGACTACTCCTTTTGTCTATGCGCACCCCCTTCCATACGCGGTACTCGTCTCGCCCTTCACGACCATCGCCTTCCGACCGAATGGCAACCCCGACAAAGACAGCATCGAGGGCAAGATTAGCGTCCGAGGTGAAGAATCGGGCGAACACTCGGATGAAGGCATCCTCATCCTCAAGGACGGCCGAACAATATGGTTCAGGCCCAGCACACCCTTCAAGCCCGGCGAGAGAGCCTACGTCAATGTTCGGTCGGGTATCAGGGTCAGCGGGGACATCTTGCCCGCTGCCGAATGGAGCTTCACAATCTCATGGCGCAGAGAAGATACATATTCTTCTTCCAACACGGACTCCCGCGACTTCGCAGGCAAATCTGTATCGAGTCCAGAGGATGTGCAGCTTCTGAGGAAGATGAATGATATGATGTGGCTGCTAGGTGGGGCCAACGATGGCAACACTACGTCCGTCCCCGAAGACCCCAGGCATATCATGGGCAGTGATGATTGTGAAGACGAAGGGGAGGATGATAGTGTTATTTATGCTCCAAGCTGTGCCTACAGGTGGTCAATCTGTTTGTTTTGGTCAAATGTGTTTGTTGGGTGTGTGGATGTGCAGGACTCTCCCTTCCGGATACCCACGAATGGAGGTGACAGCTGGGGACCTCACCAGACTCTCCCCTGGATATGTGTTCACCTCCTCATGGAACCTCAACATCTCCTCTGAATCCGATAAGTTCCGAATGATCACTACCTCCCTCGGTGATCCTGTCTATTACGAACCACTACCATTGAGGGCATTTTCCCCAACACGTGACCAGCGTCTCGTTCTTCGGGAGAAGAACGATACGATCGTCATTGGTGGGGCTGATTACTCAGAAGACGCTGCTTTCGCGGCGGATCACGGGGCTCGCTGGAATTATCATGACTTCCAGCTAGCAAGGAAGGGTACTGGCCTTATCATGGTATATGACCCTCAGCCAATTAAGGTAGACAAGAAAAACGGGAAGCTGAAGCTTGGCGGATCATCGAGTATGGCGTCGCTAATTGGATTCATCGTTCAAGAAATCACACCACAAGATTCGTAACGAGACAGTCGAATTCTGTCTCTGTCTGGTATACGTTCCTTCCAGGGCAAGTCATACTGGAATGGCGAAGTTGGGACCACATGCCTCGCCTACTGTGGGAAAGCACTTCAAATGTGCGAAAGAAGGGTGTCGTACACGGTCATGCCGATGAAAGAGCCCGGACGTATGTCGAGTTCGAAAAATAGATGGCGTCCGGTACATATGCATGCCGTTCAATGCATACTTCTTGACAGGCGCGTATGGGATATTGCACATGCAAACTCTTTGGAGGAGATGGACGACGGGAGCATTCTCATATCGCTGCGAATCTTGAGTCAATTGGTCAAGATACATAGGGATACAGGCGAGATCATATGGCGGCTCGGGGGCAGGGGTGCAAACTTCAGGTAACGCCGGGAAGGAAGCCAGACTGTCTTCTGAGATCGGCGTTGTGTGGCAGGATCATCGGCGACCCAAGGGGCACATTCATTGGACAACACGACGGGAGAGATATAGGAGATAACAAGATTACACTCTTCGACAATCACTACCGAATTGGAATCGGGACGGCTCGCGCTGTGGACTATCAACTCGAAGTCAACGCAACGCAGAAGATTGCTCGTCTCGTGTCATCGTTCAACTCCGGCCTTCCGTCGTATGGAAATAAAGATATTTGCAGCTGATACTTTCGGGATCTGATACCTCCATTTCCTTGCGTGCCTGTCCGTGTCAGTTACGCCATCGGTGGATACAGGCGCCTGTCCAACGCCAATCGTGCGATTTCCCTGGGGTTTCAAATGAAATCAGGATACAGTAGAGGAAACCCTTTTTACCTTGAAGTGACTGACGAGGGAGAATCGGTGGTCGAAATGCAATTTGCGTCTCGGAATCTTTGGGCGTATCGCACGATCAAGGCTCCTTGGATCGGGACCCCTGCGTGGCCGTCGACAGCCCTCCTGGATGACAATAACAAAGCGAAGACTCTCCGGCTTCACTTCTCGTGGAATGGTGATACTCGCACACAGAAATGGCGGATTTTCATGGGTCAATATGATAAGCCGGTGACAGTAGTGTATGCCGAGGTTGAGAGAAAGCAATTCGAGCACTGGGTGGATGTCCCAGAGGGCGCCGAGAAATGCCAGTACTTCCAAGCTGTCGCTCTTGATGCTGAGGGAAAGCAAATGAGCCGATCGTCTACAGTAGAGACAAAGCCATGTGGGTAGCTGAATCTTCAGAAGACAGGCACAGTGTATGCCGTCTTTCAGAAATGAACTGAAGCAAAGATACAAAGGCTCGATAGAAGCGCGCACACACACTGCAGACACACAGTGCACGCTGCGTGCAGCCTCCCGCTACCAAGGTTTCCTTGGCTAAGGTCTTTGTCTCCACCCTGCCCTCCCTTCCTAGCCCCCCAGTATGTGTGTGTCGATTGATCTGTGGTAGCGTATGGTCCGTATGCCAAGCATGTATGCGTCATTAGGATGTGGAAATTTGGGAGTCACTGTGTACGCCCGATAAATAAATGACTGAATGACCTTCTCACTCACAATAATTGGGGGAGAGCGGTCCACGCACAACAGTACACAGCACGAAACGCACACCGGTCAGTGACCAACCCCCTCCAGCCTCGCAACAAAGAAAAAAGGAACAGGAAAGAGAAAAAGGGAAGAAAAGAAAAACACTCTTGTAATACTCTCAGCAGTATGTAGGACTAGCGCCAGCCTGCGCTTGGCGCGGCAGAATGACTGCAAAAACCTGTCAACAGACAATGAACTGTCTCTCTTGAGCTTCTCGCCAGCTTTCAGCACAGACCTTGCCTTCTCGTGTTCAGATCCCACTCCACGGAAGCGAACAGACAGGCGACTAGGCCGCTTCACCTCGTGTCTTCCAAGCAGTTTTTTCGCCCAGATATCACCCCTTGCAGCGAGTGCAGCCCTCTTCTTTTCTTGTATCTGGTCCCATCCAGTTCACATTCGCCATTATCTTCGAAGAAGAAGAAGGTTTCGCATGTGTCGCTGGCATTACACAATTCGGCACACTCATTGACGGCAGCCATGTCCACAACAGCACTTTCTGCCCCCGGCTTAGGTCTGTGCAAGTGCTCTCGCCGCCCGATGTCGGGCTGGTAGCAGCCGCAGGGTACCACCATCGCGGGAGGGGACAGAGTACCCGCACGGCGCGGCTCATCATAGGACGACAGGGTCATGGGCACTGAAGAGGAGACGAGATACACATCCTGAGGGTGGGATAGGCACGGTACACGGCCTCGCCCGCCCACCTTTGAGTGCCTTCGACGGCCTGAGCAGGTCGTCGTCGCCTTTGACGGGCACCACACGCACATACAAGTTCGCAGACGAGGTGTCACTTCTAGGCGTCACAGTGAAGTTCTCGGCCGCCAAAGCGTCCACGAGCTCCTGCAGTGTGATGATCTCCTCGAATGCCGTCTTGTCGCGCCCAAGAAGGGGCTTGTCGAGAGGGACGTCTCTGTCGTTACCGACATAGAGGCGCCACTTGCTGATGCCTGTGACTCCATTGAAGGAGAAGTGAATTGTCCAGTCCTCCAGCTGGTCAATCGACCCGTTACGTGTCGAGGCTTTCCCGTTCGCGTCGCTGCAGAGAAGGAGCCGCGGCGCTTCAGTCGAAGAGCCTTCCCAGGGGTGCAAAAGCGGTCGATGACCGCGAAGGCCCTCGAATTCGCGGACTATGCGGGGATTGTCTTCATACGTCACTTCAGTGAAGAAAGGCCCTGTATAGCCCCAGCCAATCAGCATCGTCGCAGGCTGGCCTCTGAAGGAAAAAAGAGAGAGTGGCTTCAAGCCGCAATTGAACAAGAACACATCTGCTACCTTCCGTTGTCGATCATCTGGAGCCCGCCACAACATTTGCTCCTCAGCCTGGACACAAGGAAGAGACACGAATGGCGCTGCTTTTGTGCACCCGCGAGTGTGATATACCCAGATGGGTGTGAAAAGGACCACACTTTCGTGGCGGTCATTTGATCCAGATCCAGCTGCAGCTCGAGCACCCGAGAGGGCCGCGGCGACCCGTGCTTCACATGGCGTCCGTTATCATACCTGTCACAACCGCATACATTCATCTGCATATAGTGCAGACAACACAAATCATTTGGTCCCCTGACATGATGATGTTCCCATTAAAGAGTTGGTGAGCATCGTGCTGGCCGAAGAAGGGAGGATCCATGTCATCGCCGACGAAAGTGAAGTCACTGCGTAGCACTCATGCAAATGCATGGGAGCGAATGTCGGCCCCTGGCAGTGACGTACCTTGTCTTACCCCCCAAGCGCCAAAGGATCTGACCGCTCTTGCCGCTGAGCAACACGACCAGTCCGCAGCCGTAAAGAGAGACGATCAGATTGCCTTACACACATGACCAGAAGAAGTTGTCAAACTACTGATGGTCAGCTGAGCAGCTAGGCTTACCATCAGGTGTCCTCTGCGCGTTATTGATGTGATAGTACTGGCACACCCATATCCAAAGACAGATGATTCCATGTATAAGATGCTTATGATATAGGTGTACGTCGGGGGGGTTTTCTCTTAGGTCCAGCAACACGGGATCGGCTTTTCCGACGAAATCTTCAGTCGTCCTCCATTCGAGTATCACATTCCTGTCAGCGTCCAGAACCTGCACTACTGCAGAAAAGAAAGCGGGAAGATTTGTGCGTACATGGCGGAAAAGACTCACCGTTATGTATTACGTCGTCGATCTTGGTAAGAGCTGCCAGAATCGTGTTGCCATCATCGAAAAAGATGCTATGGCTGTCTAATTCATAGCCATGACCTGAAGTGATGAACCTGCCAGATAGCAAAGGTTGGGGAGCCCGTCAATTGTTTACCGGGACTGTGCCTAGCGACAGCCTGGTATGTGGAGTTAAGCTCGAATGCCTCTCGGCTGGCGTGCTCCGATCTCCTGTCCCACACTGCCACATGACCAGTCGGCGTCACACCAAGCATACCCGCCTGGGCGGTAGATGTGTGAGTCCACCACACTAAGTCACCCTTTACAGATGACAATACGCATAACCGTCCTCTCCCCAAACACTGTGCTGCTCACCTCGCGCGTAATACTGATATGCTGGCCAGCATGTTCTCCCCTCCCGTGACCGACACCGAGAAAGCAGAGGTCTCCTTGCCCGCCAATCGCATTTCTCTTGTCCAAGGCCGCCTTCTTGCTTTCGGAAGACGGCCTCACCCGTGCAGCCCACGACGGGAGCGTGCGATAGCGATCCATCGGCGCTGTCCCCTTCTCTTCTCCCTTTGCACCTTCCTGCTCTTTGAATTTTCGCTCAAACTGCCGCCGTATCTGGAATTGCCATGTGTACTCGCCCACTCGATAACGTGTACCTTTGGTAGGTCGCCGCACGCGCAGGCCGGGGCCGAACTTGACACTGACCTTCTCCCGTTGGGCGAAGGGCTGGTCAGCATAGAAGATTACCGTCTTGTTGTCGCGGGCCAACACAACTCTACCCGTCACATGGCCGCTTTTCTCTCCAGTAACGTCGAAGAGGTCGGCCAAGTTGCCAGAGATCACCTCATCGCCCTCCCTGACGGCAATGGACGTCAGCTCCGACACATGCACCGCATCTGCACGGGGATGGATGTACTCGTATTGCCCGTCTCCATACGGCCCTACGGCACCCTCCACAACGAAGCGCTTCGCATCGAGCGCTGACGCAGGCGGACTCAAGATACACACTATGCCGAAGCTGATGGCCAGCGTGTACGAGACATCCATGACACTATGAGAGTTCACTATGTTATAAAACACCCACTTCACGCCACTATGTACACGCAGGCCGCTTAACCTACCAAATATATACTTAAACTACCAAATGGGGCCCTTGAAATATCCCAGGTGAAACACAAATTCCCGCAATTCTAACGTGTAGCGTTTTCTAACGGGCTTGTGTGCCGCTTTTTGGTCTTTCTCTCAACCTCTGTGAGACGATGAAGAATGAGGGCCCGTGCGCTCATATCGCCTCCCGCCCTTTGTCAAAGCGTCCTTCCGAAAGAAGCTTTGGAACGTGCGAGCTTAGCTAGCCGTTACGGGGTTTCTCCGGGTTCCCCTCGGTTTCGCACTTGATCAAGTCTCACCGGTTCTTACGAGCGCCTCACTTTGTGGTTGATGTGTAACGATGCGCCGGGGGCCACACACTCGTTGGTCCACGGCACGAACAAACATGAACAGTCGATCGTGATGTAATGATAACGAGCTACAGACACTCAAATGGACAAACGATGCTCACGAGCAGCACACGTGAATGCAATGGACAGACATGCAGATTGCCAGACAGACAGACAGACAGACAGACGGCCAACCAGACAGACAGACATCCAGGCCAATCAACACGTACTATCTCGACACGTCTACTCACAGGGGGGGCACCCTCAGAAGACGAGAGGCTCCCCAGGCACGAACATCCCAGCCCCATCACCCCAGCGCCCCCTCTGATACAGCCAGTGCCACCGGCCCTTCCTCCGGGGCCGCCGCAGACACGCAGACACCGAACGAGCCAGGCACACTGACAGCCGCGCCCGGATCCATTGCTCGACCCGACCAGTGCCATATCTGTCCCATCCGCCCCTCTTGTTGATGAGCTCGGCCAAGCGGCGAATGAAGCGATCGGCCTCCCTCCCGTAGACGCCGTCACACGTCACGATGAAAGCCGTGAAGTCCATGCGGTTGAGCCGACACACGTCGAGATGGTGGTCCCTCTTGAGCTTCTCCCTCTCGCGGGTGATCGCGCCGGTTGCCCCGGTTGCAGCGAGCGTCAGCGTCGGTAACGCAGAAATCGATCCACAGCTCGCGGCCGCTTGGCCAAAACCTCGACACGAACAGGTCCGTGCGGACGGAGGGGTCGTTGTGGACACCATCAGGCTCGTCGGGTGCAGTGTGTGGGTCGGGCGGGTCCGGAGGGTCAGGTGGGTGGGGAGGGGGGGAGAGGGATGAGGGTGGCCGGCACCGTCACAGGGGGTCACACCCAAAGGGACGGCACGGGGATCGCGGGCGGCGGCGGTGTGGGCGGTCTCCTTCCACACCGTGTGCTCGTACGCCACCTTGAGGCCCGCCAGCTGACACAGACCGCCAACCTTGTGCTTGAGCCGGTCGTGTTTGGCATACACCAGCCCGCCCAGGGAGCAGCCAAGCGCGTGTTGGACGGTGAAGTCGGCACCGCACCTCGCCCCATTTGGGCGCTCGCCGTCGCACTTGCCTGGCATGTCCTGGTGGGGCAGGCCGTTCCCCATTACCCTATGGGGGAGCTTTTCCATCTACGGCAAACCCCGCAGCAAACCGCAACCGCCTGTCACTCATGGGGGCTATGTATTATATCCCCCTCTTCTAGCCCAGGGGGAGACTCTCAACCGATTCCTCCAGGTGCGCCCCCTCCACCCCACCACC